GTGGGCTACCAAAGCATCGACGTTTTCTGTAATAACAATAACATCAATAGCTCGGGCTAAGTGAAAATTTCTCAAAACCCATTGAGAAAACAATATGAGAGCAAACAAATATGAAGCTTACTTTGAACGATTTCTACACGTTTTCCTCCAAGTAGATACTCATCTGAATATGCAACTTTGAAACTTGATATTTTAAATAAAAGTTCATTAACAAAATAAATAAAAAAATAAAAAGAGAAAAAGGATAAAATGAGAAAATGTAGGTAAAATGAACCTCAGCTTTCCCTTTTTATATTGGGCCTCAACGTTAGTTGCCTTAGTTTTAAGCCACCTCAAAGTACATACTGATTTTTATATAGGAAAGACACATTTGTTTCTTGCCAGTATAATGAATGAAGAACAACAAACAGAATTTACGATGTGATTCATAATAAGAAAAGAGCCATCCATTTTTATTGGCCCGAACAAAAATCAGTGTCTTAATTTATGTATCTTAAAGATTAAGGAATGAAGAAAATGTAAAAAAACAAAAAAACAAGTACCACATTTCCAAAAACCCAAACTGCAGAATACTCATTTTTTCTCTATTAACATTCTCAATTCCTCATGACGCAATATTCTTTTACAAAAGAAGCACGACTTAGTAAATTATATTTGTGTCCTAAGATTGGAAAATGTCAAGATATGAGCTAAAGGTCATCGTTAAACACATAATCAAACTTGCTCTAGGATTTAGTAATATAACAAATTAAAAAGTTAAGTCGAACGATGAACAATAAGTATCACAATAAAGGACCAGACTACTCTTTCAGTTTTCTGTTTCTTTATTTTCTCCTTAAGATGGACATAATTGCTTATGTATGTCGAGAAATGCTAACGCCACTCTCGTCGGCATCACACAGTTAGAATGCACTTAAGCTTGGATAACTGACAGACAGACCGGAATAAAACTCCTGCACATCTCTCTGTCAAACTTGAACTTGAATGACTTCACAACGCTAGCATTCAACGGGCACTTCTTCTTCTCAGGACCT